CTCAGGCGCCCCCCATTTCCCCCTTGTTCATGAGGACACCAGTCATGTGGGATGAGGGCCCATCCTAATGACCTCACCTTAGCTCGTTCTGCAAAGACTCTGTCTCCAAATAAGGTCACAGTCGCAGGGGCTAAGGGTTACACTTCAGCATGTCTCTTCAGGGGATACAACTCAGCCCAGGGCAGCCTTGGGATGCGGTGGAGGAAGGTCAGGGGCTGTGTCCACACAGGGCGCTGTAAGCAAAGGACAGCACCTCCCCCTCCGGAGGGTGTGTTGGAGGGGGAGGGGCGGGGCTGGGACAGAAGGGGGACCCCGAGGAAGGGGCATGGAGGGCGCTGTTGGCATGCTCACTGCCCAGCCCCTGTCTCCCCCAGGGCCCTCACGCCCAAGGCCAGATGCCCCAACCCGCGTGCACGGGCTTTGTTTCTTGATTTAAGCAGAGTAAGACACACAGGACAGATAGAAAGCGTTTCTAGACTAAGAAATCTCATGGGGCACCTGGATGGCAAGCGTCTGACTCTTGATTTCAGCTCAGGTCACGATCTCACAGCTGGTGGGATTGAGCCTTGCGTCCCCTGACAGTGTGGAGCCTGCTTGGGATTCTCTCTCTGTCTCCCTCTCTCTCTCCCCCTCCCCCACTTGCACTCTCTCTCGTTCTTTCTCTCTCTAAATAAATAAACATTTTTAAAGAATAAATAAAATTAAGAAATCCCAGAGTTTTGAGGGAGTTGGCCATTGGTTTATTAGTGGTTGTTTTTCCCCTTGCTTTTTAGTCTGAAAATTGTCACACCTGAGAAAAGTAGGGAGCATGGTACCCCCCCAAAACACAGTCACTGGTCTGCTCTGCCGTAACGTGTGTGTGTCCCACTTTGGAGGCAAGTCAGGGCGCAAAAGGCAGCTTTGTCATTTGTAGACTGCGACTTTGGGCCTATTACAGAATGTCCCTGAGCTTCCGTTTTCATTGATGAAATTGGGGTGCCACCTGGTGACAAGCCCAGCATGCACAGAGAGCCATCCCCACGGCACAAGGCACAGTCAGCTGCTAATGAATGTCAGCTGAGCTCCCGGCCCCAATCGAGGCTGCCCCTCAGCAGAGGCCCCCCCCGAACCCCCCCAAGCCCCTCTGCCTAAGGAGGCAGCCAGAGCAGCACAGCCAGCCTCTGGGGGCTTCCAGGCGCCTGGCGTCTCTGCACACCGCGAGGGCAGCTTTCCGGCACAGGTACTCAAATTAAAAAAAAAAAAAAAGTTAACAGGGGCCCTGGGGTGGCCTCTTCAGTTAAGCGTCTGACTCTTAATTTCGGCTCAGGTCATGATCTCACGGTGGGATCGAGCCCCGCGTCGGGCTCTGTGCTGCCTGTGAGGAGCCTGCTTGGGATTCTCCCTCTTGCTCTCTGCCCCTCCCCCAACTCACGGACTAAAATAAATAAATTCTCTCTCCTAAAAATAAATAAATTAATTAATTAATATTAACAAAAAGCAGATAGTGCTTTTTTTAAAAATATTTTTATTTATTTCTAGGAGAGAGAGAGAGAGACAGCGTGAGCAGGGGAGGGTCAGAGAGAGAGGGAGACACAGACTCTGAAACAGCCTCCAGGCTCCGAGCTGGCTGTCAGCACAGAGCCCGACGCGGGGCTCGAACCCACGAACCGCGAGACCATGACCTAAGCGAAAGTCGGACGCTTAACCGACTAAGCCACCCAGGCGCCCCCAGATAGTGCTTTTTAAGGAAGTCCCTGAGACGAAACACCTGAGGGATGGAGAGGAAGGAAAATGGACGCACACGGTGAACAGGACACAGGCACAGGGCGGCGCTTCCCAAACTCCAGGGAACGGCCTTGGGGGATGGGCCTGAGGCTCATCACACTCGGGGGAGCTAGGACATGGGGTGCAGCAGGACCCTAGGGCCAAGCCTGTCCCCCTGTCTGTGTTTGTATGTCCTGTGAGTGAGGAATGAGTTTTACGTTTTTGAATGGCCAAAAGAATATGTGTAACACATAAAAAAAAAAAAAAACAAAACATGAAATTCAAGTTTCAGCGTCCATCGTATTATATCAGAGCCCACTGTTTCCTGTTGTCTGGCTGCTGTCACCAGGGCAGAGGACGGAGACTGCACGGAGCCTGGAATACTTAACTCGGTTTTTACAGAAAGGATGGGCTGAGCCCCCAGCGCGGCCGGTCAGGCCCGACGCGGCCAGCAGGGGGCAGAAGAGAGCCACTTGTGGCCAGGCCTTCCCGGGACCTGGGGAGGCGTGTTTGCACGTATAGGAGGATTAGGAGGAACTTAGCTGAGGACCATGGGGGAGAAGAAGGGGGGAAATGGTGGGGGGAATGGGGAGAGGCAAACCATGAGAGACTCTTGAATGCTGACAAAAACTGAGAACTGATGGATGTGGGGGGGAGGGGGGTATGGGCATGGAGGAGGGCACTTGTGGGGATGAGCACTGGGTGTTATATGGAAACCAACTTGAAAAAAAACTATTTGAAAAAAAAAAAAAAAGAAAAGATTCATCAAAAAAAAAAAATGTGTAGGGGGACTCAGCTGAAATTAAGAACGGAGATGGGGCACCAGGAGATGAGCTGGGGGTAAGTGGGAGTAAGTGGGCAAGGTCCGAGGATGTAGGGCTGTAAGAAGCAATGAGAGATGCTGCCTCCGGGCCCGCGGGAGAGGTGGGCCCAGAGAAGGCGTGGAGGCCGAGGACGCTGCAAGTGGCTCGCAGTTTGGGCCACGGCAATAGGGAGCCACTGCAGGGCTTTAGGCGGTGGTGATAGCATCGGTTTGGGGGGCGGGGGTTACTCTAGCTCTGGTGCCTTGGGGACGCTGTCACAACAATCTGGACACAAGACGCTGAGGGTCTGCGGAGGGCAGGCAGCCAGGAAAGGAGCCAGCAGCCAGGGTGAGCCAACCAGCCAACCCGCAAGAGGGCTCAGAACTCCCCAACTCTTGGGTTCTGCGTTTTCACCCAGGCCACCCTGGGCAAACAGCGTCACTAACTTTTCTCTTTCTTTGCCTTGTTTTTCTCTGCTTTCATGACAACCGACCGTGAGGCAGTTCGGGTGGTTCTCGTTGTCTCCTGGCCGAGCTCTTTTCTTTCCCGTGGCTCCTGCAGCTGTGGGATTGCAGCCATTCCTAGCACAGCGCTCAGCCTTTGGGGGCCGCCCTTCTGTTCTGCCTTAGAGAAGCATTGCTTTCTTTTCTTTTTTTCTTTTTTTATTTATTTATTTTTTTTTAATTTTTTTTAATGTTTTATTTATTTCTAGGAGAGAGAGAGAGAGACAGCGTGAGCAGGGGAGGGTCAGAGAGAGAGAGGGAGTCACAGACTGAAACAGGCTCCAGGCTCTGAGCTGGCAGTCAGCACAGAGCCCGACGTGGGGCTCGAACCCACGAACCGCGAGATCACGACCTAAGCGAAAGTCGGACGCTTAACCGACTAAGCCACCCAGGTGCCCCTCTTTTCTTTTTTTTAAAAATATTTATTTATTTCTGGAAGCACGCAAGAGCGGGAGGGGCAGCCCCAAAATGGGCTCTGCACTGACAGCAGAGAGCCTGGTGTGGGGCTCAAACTCACAAACCGAGAGATCATGACCTGAGCCGAAGTCGTAAACTCAACCGACAGAGCCACCCGGTTACCCCCAAAACCATCTCTTAGCGGGGGATGGGGAGGGCTCACAGACTCCTTTTAGAATCTGGTGAACACGGTCATGAACCTCCAGCAAAATGTACACGAACAGGGAGACTCAGGGTCCGACCTAGGATGTCCGGGCTCCTGCACTCCCTGAGGCCAGCTCCAGTTAAGGGCCCCTGCCCTGGGGGCTGCACGGCTCAGGGTCACCGGGCGTCAGCGGCCTCTTGGCTTTAAGGTTTGGGGCTTGATATCAGAGACGTTTGCCTTCCCTCTCCTCAAGTCCTCCCTGCCCTTCATGTCTGATGGAAACGATGTGACTCAGTAAGCCTGTCTTTGGAATGGATTAAAACTTTCAAACACACAGCACGGGAGCTAGACAGACCCCCCAAGATGGCAGGTCCGGTGGTTCTCAGCTGTGTGTTGAGCTGCGCGGAGCCCAATGGGGAACGTCCCTGAGCAAGAGAATCTGCTAGAAGGCTTCCCAGCTGGGTAGACTAACCTCTTCCTATGCATGGGGCCAGGAAACATTGTGTTCACAGAACTATGAACATGTAGAGTTCTATTTTGGGGGACTTAATACATCATGAAATCCCCTGTCTTTGAAACAAAAAGAGCACTATATCAGATGCTGTCTTGTTTAGGAAATTATTAGCCTCTATAACTAGAAATAAGCAGATTACATTTTTTAACAGATTAATTTAATCTCCACAACAAGGAATGTTTAGTGGAATATAGTCATTCAATTATGAAATGTTTCCAAAGGACAAATGGAAGCTTGGAAGCTTAGGACGGCTTTTCAAATTTTCCAGATTTAGAAAATCTAACCCAACGTCAGCTTTTAATAAAAGCAGTCATTCCTAGCAATTATGGTCTCTTAGCGTGGGTATAGGTGCATGTTTTTAACAACAGCTTTAGTGGAATGTAGTTTCTAGAACAGAAACTTTATCTGTTTTAAGTCCATAATTTTTTAAAGTCAATTTACAGAGTTGTGTGACCATCACCACAATAGAAATTTAGAGCCTTTTTTTTTTTTTAAGTTTTTTATTTATTTTTGAGAGAGAGAGAGAGAGAGCATACACAAGCAGGGGAGGGGCAGAGAAACAGGGAGACACAGAACCCGAAGCAAGGTCCAGGCTCCGAGCTGTCAGTGCAGAGTCTGACACGGGGCTCGAACCCACAAACAGTGAGATCATGACCTGAGCCGACACCAGACGCTTAACCAACTAAGCCACCCAGGCGCCCCTAGAGCCTTTCTATCACCCACTTTACTTGAAGTTTTATTAGAAAAACAATAATTTTATTTTGGTTACTGCCTGTGTTTGCCTCCCCAAGGTTGTCTTCTTACTAACGAGTGACCTTTCCTGGTATCTTTTCCAGGCCAACACTGCAGCGCTGGAGCAAAGCTCTTGCAATCTTATCAGGAACCGAGGTGAGCGCCATCCTGGGGCAGACCGTTCTGGCCCCGCAGGGCTCTGAGCACCAAGGACTTGCTGAAAGAACTTCTAGATCTCTTGACTTTCAGACCTGGCTGCTTTGGAATGTGACTTTTTTTTTTTTTTTTTTTTAAATGATAAAGTGCCTGGAAAAGATTTAAACGGAGATATTTCCAGATTCTTATGAAAAGCCTTCTCAGCAGCCAGCAGAGCATTTTCTCACGACAGGTTTTATTTCTTAAATTCTTCTGAAATGTTGTCAGGAAATGAAATATTATTTTTGATGGCATTTTAAATGAAATTCTAAACCAAGCGTTTGCTTTTATGAATCACTCCTGTTTCCGACATCATGCCCGGTGCCTGACACCTCAGACATCTGTGTAATATGTAATATGTACATATGTATATGTAATATATACATATGTAGTATGTAAAATGGTGGAAGTGAAGAATGGTCGGAGAGATGCTCACTTCTTGATACACAGCCCTAAACACCTAGGGTTCTTGAAGTTGGCAACAATTCACACACCTGATTTCACCGAATTTATCAAACTATTCTGAAAGCTCCCCACCAGCTTTTTTTTTTTTTTTTTTTGGCCCATGATGAGATTTTCCAATCATGGAACCTCTTCATTTCTCTCACTCCCCCATCACAAGCTTCTTATTCCTCTCATGCTTGATTTGTTGATTCATGACATCCACGGAATTTTTGGCACTTCTGCTGGTGCGGTTTGGGCAGAGAGAACACGCACATCTATATGGGACACGTGCGTGAGGCCTGGGTCCCCAAGCGGCCGGGCTACTATAGACAACACGGATGGAGCGCTAAGCCCGGACGCCAGTAGCGTGGTGCTCGTTCGTCACGTTACCGGAAAATACCGAATATCCGGTACCAATACGGGAGGGGCAGATCCAGGCAGGCTGCTGGGTCCTCTTCTAAAGTGCAAGGACGTAAAAGGAAAAACAAAATCAGAGAACTTGAACCATAGGATGATGGCGAGTCTTGTGTATTTGTAAGACGAATAGTTGGATCGTTGATGACCTGTTTCTTATTCCTGTATTTTTCCTTGGCAGCAAAATTTCTGTGGTTCCTCCTACCCCACCTCCTCTGAGTGAGAGCCAGTGCAGTAGCAGCTCTTACAGGGTAATGTGACTGTTCTGGGCCTCCCTGGGGAAGGGGACGTGGGAGGGAAATGGAGGAAGGAAGGGCGTCTTAGAGGTTGGACCAAGACCCTCAGAGCAAAGGGATCTAATTGTGGCTGAAGCTGGCCATGGAGGGAGGCAGAGAATGGAGACCGGAAGTGCTGGGCCTGCCCACTGTCTGTGCGTCCGCCATGCTTTGGGGGCCATGGGATCATCTGAATTAATAATGACTCACCTTCTGCCTGCACCCCACATCCTCATCTATACCCCATATACCCACCTGTCCCCCATGTCCTCACCTGCACCCTATATCCCCACCTGCACCCCATATCCCCACCTGCACCCCACATCTTCAACTGCACCCCATGTCCTCACCTGTGCCCTGTATCCCTGCCTGCACCCACATCCCCACCACTTTACTCTTATCATTTTGCTGGCTGTCCTCCCTAACTGCGCACTGTGCTCTTGAGTGTGGGGATCTGAATAGGCTGCAGTGTGGGGGGCTTCTGGGGGTGTAAAGAGAAATAAATACATGTTGATTCACAGGTGTGTGATTCATAGGTGTGAGAGTGCCTGGAGCATGTGTGTGTGTGTGTGTGTGTGTGTGTGTGTGTGTGTCTTTTATGTGTTTGTAGATGCTAATATAAAGTAGACCAGGACCATTTCTGTCTACAGAAATTAGTGGTATGATCTTGGAGTTACCTGGGTTTCCACTTGAGAAGTGGAAATAATTATTCTCCTCTGGTTTGTTTCCTATGGTTGTTATGAGAAATTAACAAAATAATGTCAGTGCTGGTACTTGGAAACTATAAAGTGCCATGAAAACACATGGCCTTGATTATTCTCATTATTGTCATTCTGCAAATTAAAGAGAGTAACTGTATCTGTACATAGAAGGGCACATCCATATGCTAGTAAGAGAGAGAGAGGTATATTTATTCTTTTTCCAGTTTCAAACTGAGAGCCTGGAATGAACTTCAAAATTCTGTTCCATTTTCTTCTTGAGATTCTAAATCCTTCCAACTTGTTCCAGCACTGATGTATTTCCTGGATGGATGGATGGATGGATGGATGGACGGACGGATGGACGGACGGACGGACGGATGGACGGATGGACGGATGGATGGATGGATGGAAGAATGGAGGTGTGGAGGGAGGGATGGATGGATGGATGGATGGATGGATGGATGGATGGAAATAGGGAAGGAAGGAGGGACAGAGGGATGGAAGGAGGGAGGGATGGATGGATGGATGGATGGAGGCATGGAGGGAGGGATGGAGGGAAGGACAGGGATGGAGGGAAGGATAGATGGAGGGGTGAATGGATGGATGGGACTTGAAGGGGAAGTGATCTCCTTTCTGTCTTTTTTGCTTTATCATCTCTCTCCTGCTTGGAGGGGTGGAACTAGCTCCTGGCTCCAGGCTGGTCCCCTGAGCCTGGCACCACCATCGCCCCTGTGTCACTATTGTGTTGGCTGTTGCATTGGGATCCCCTCTGCCTGGAGCTGGGCTGGCATCATCCAGGAGCAGGTTAAAGAAGCAGAGTCTGCCTGAGTACAGTCTAAGCCAGTGAAATGTCGGCTATTTTTTCCAAGAGGTCGTTGCTGTCATGTCCTCACCCTTTGCTGATGCCCCTCCCTTAAATGTGGGTGTCAAACCTCAAAGGAAAGAAGCTGAGTCAGAGGATCCCTGCCTCCTGAGAGGATAGTGCCCTCCGCTCTCCAGACACGCATGCACACACACCTGCACGTGCCCGGAGCACCCCCCACTCCACTCACACCTGTTTGGGGGTTGGAGGCCTAGAGGCTGCTGGGGCAGACCTGGGGCTTCAAGTATAACTCTCATTCTCTCTCCTCTGTCTCTGATTTAGTTACAGGAACTTGGTCAGTTTAAAGGATTTAATAAGTCCATGGAAAATTTGTTTCTGTCTGTTACCACCCACATGAAAAGTAAGTGGATGCCTTTCCATGTGTTCTCCCCCCCACCCCCCGGGCCAGCCAAGCCCCCTGGCCAAGGCCTGGCCGGGGACCTCTGTCTCCAGGTCCTGGGGAAAGCTACCACCCTGTCCCTTCACCCCTCCCCCTGCAGAGAAGGGCTCTGGTTTCGCGGGGGGGAAGAAGAGATATCCTTTAGGCCACTGGACTGGCTCAGTTTACCCCACTGCTACCCAAACCTACTGCCAGAGCTCAGCACAGACCTGGCAGTCGGTCCTGGCCCGCATCCCAGCCTCTCCCAAGGACTTGCAGAGACAGGGGAGTGATATGGTGCCAATGAAAGAAAACTGGGAGCTTTCAGGCCAGGCAGGGCCCAGCGACTGTCATTTGCATGGAAAGACTTGTCTGTTCCCCTTTCCTCCTCAGTAAATCCATCTTCAATTAGCAGTAATCCCGTGATTTGCAGATGCAAAGAACCCAGCACTACCACTACCACTGCTTAGAATCTTCAATATTCTTTCTGCTCAGATATTTCCCCCTGGGTATTAAAGTGCAAACCCCAGAGGAAAGCCCCCACGCAGGCCTGCTGAGGTGCCCAGAGGAGGCCAGGCATCGAGAGAAGGCCCCACGTGGGATCGGGGGGTCTCAGGCGACCATTCTATATCACGGTGCTTCTACCCACGCCAGTGCCTGTGGATGGGGTCGGGCTTGTGCCTTGGCTCTGAGACAGTCTTATTATTTGATTTTAATTAGTCCTTTGTGTTCCCCCCCTGAGCCCTTCCGAGCTGTATCGTGACAACTGAAATCAAAGCACCTTTTTAGATAAACAGGGAAGCGGCCATCTCCTGAGACCGTCTGTCCCCCTCTGCTTTAGAAGGACGAAGCAGCCAGATCTCATGCCACCTGTTTGCCAATAGAGCTTGGAGGTTTAGAACCACCCCGTTAGTGGGCCGGGTTAGCGGGCACCAGCCTAGGGTTTCCAGCCCTAACGGCTGCCTGAACTTCGAGCGGCTGGCCCCATTCCCGCTGACACTCCTCTTGTCGAAACTTCTCAGCGTCCCTTTATAGGAGCACAGTCTCTCCCCACATCCAGGTGGCTTATGTGAACTACTTCCCACCCCTGTATTCTGGAATCATGTCTCAGCATTAACTCTGACCTGGTAATCCCTCAGCTAGACGCCCAGAGAGGCAGAACGCACGTTTCATCTTGTCCCATGCCGTGCTCGCCCTCCTGCACACGCTGGGACCCACGCACGGGTACGCCCGCGTGTGCTTGCTCACCCGTACCCTCGCCTGTACACTTGCTCACATGTTGGAGACTCGCCAGTCCAATTCCTTGAGTGTTCTGGCGATGCCATCAGTATAGATCAGCAGACCCCGGTGGACGACTGGAACTGTCCCCGGGGTGGGGGTGGGGGGGATTCAAAGAGCAAAGCAGCATCCAGTCTCTGCCTTGGAATATGGACTAAAGCCCCCCATTTGCATCCTCTTCCTGCTTGTGCAGACACTGGTGCTTCACGGACCACAGAGACTTCAGCCCAGAGGCAGGGATGGGAACGCCCAGCTTTCTGGGACCCCCAGGGACGGTCCCCTCCCAGGTGCTCCCCGCTGCTTCTTCAGGGCAGGGCACAGGCTCCACGCCCTTCACCCCATCTCTGCCTCAGGGCACGTAGCAGGGGTGGGGCCGATTCCCGCTGCTTCAGGTCCTGAGCTGTCCTGCACAGGTCCTTCTTCATCCTTTTTGCTGCGTGTTTCCTACAGAAGTGGGTACAGAGGACAGCCTCATTCTGAGAGTGCCTGGGGTCTGGGGGAAATGGCTGGAGGGGACCTTGGCCTCAAGAGTTGAGGAAGCTGCCCCAGAGCTACGACCTTTGGTGGCCCGTGTTGCCCCGTGAAGCCAATCCAGCTGGAAGAAATGAGCAATCTCCAGCCCTTTTTATTATTGTTGCATTTCTAGGAGATTCCTGCTCTTTTGCCTGCTTCCCCACCCTCCCTGTTAGAAGGGAGGAGCAAATAAGAGCAGTGATTTTCATTTCAGGACCTTTCTGTGCTTTTCGCTGCTACTCTTCCTTTCCACCCGATGGTGCTGATCACAAGCCTACTTGTTAGAAGCTGAGTTAGTTAGGACACACCCTCACCTGCCTCATCTGTGGACAGAAATGGACCAGATGAAGGCACAGGCTTTGGGGTGAATGCCAAGCAGATGGTGGTGACGAGACACCCCCCATCCCTGCCCCGAGAGCCTCACCCCTTGGGGTGCTCACACCCTTCACAGCTGGGCTGGAATTTAGCTGTATGAGGAGTCCATGTTCACTGTCAACTTGAGGGCCTGGTGTGCTGGGACTTTGCTTGCTTCCAGGTGCAGAAGGACGCCCCTTGGTTTCCAGAGGGTGGACCCGAGGCCAGTGTGGAGAGCAGTGCTCTCAGAGGGGAGAGGTGCTACACATCCTGGTGGGAAGGAGCATGCCCTGGGGTGTGGGGGCAGGCGGGCTTCTCTCTAGAGAAAAGAGACACTCTGCAGATGTGCCTTTGGCAGTACCTGCAGGAATACCTAATAAATAGCAACAGGTGGGGATTATTTATACGATAGCATCTCAAGGAATGGATCAGAAGAGAGGGTGCTCTGGAGCTGGGCTGTCCAATACGCTAACCACAGGTGGTTCCTGAAATGCAGCCTGCCCTAAAAAAAAGGTAAAATATACACCAGATTCTGGAAACTTAGTATTAAAAAAGAGAAATTAAAAATCTCCTTAACTGTACAGCATAGGGAATACCGATAGTAATACTGAAGCAATATTACCTGGTGACGGATGGTAACTAGACTTAGCGTGGTGATCATATCGTAATGCACACCGAAAACTAGCAAATATTGTATACATCAATTACTCAGTAAAAAATTTCATTAATTTTACTATTAATCATATATTTTAACAATATTTTGAATATATTGTGTCAAATGAAAAATAGTGTTAAAATTAATTTTACTTTTTTAAATGTTTATTTATTTTGAGAAAGAGAGAGGGAGAGGGAGAGAGAGAATCCCAAGCAGGTTCTGAGCTGGAGGATGGGCCGGAGCCAGACAGGGGGCTGGATCTCACTGACCATGAGATCATGACCTAAGCTGAAATCAAGAGTCAGCCGCTGAACAGACTGAGCCACCCAAGGTGTCCCTTACCTATTTCTTTTCTAAACGTGGCTACTAGAAAATTGGAAATGGCCTACGCGAGCCACATGATAACTTTCAGAGAGAGTTGCTCTAAAGATAGTTTCAAGGTCATCTTTGAGAGAAATAAGGACCCCATGGAAAAGGGACACATTTTTGAAAGACAAAATCATCTTTGAGGTGGTTCTCTCTCTTTGTGTAGATTCCTTCCTTCCCACTTTATTCAATCTCTTCTAGATCACTGGTACACTGTCCCCCCCCCAAAAAAAAGTTATATTTTCAGGATTTATCTATTAAAATAGTTGTAAGGGTACCCTGAATCTCACTTCTACCTCTCTTCAGAGGGTCCCAAGAGATGGTATTTAGTTAACAAATCTTTGTAAGGAGCCCCTAAAAAGCCAGCTGGTTTGTTAGGCTGCCTTTTTTGTGTTCGGACACCTGTGCGCTTGTGACGGATGACCCAGGATGCAGAGTAAGTGGGCTGGAAGACGTCCCTCTCCCTCCCGCCCTGACGGTGGCTGTCTGCCTACAGAGGCCCAGGGCCACACTGTCACCGCTTGGGAATCAGGCTCCTCTGTCCTATGCAGGGCGCCGTGTGCCCCTCGTCCAGCACGTGGTGTCTGGGGGCCACTCCCTCCGAAGCCCAGAGATTGAGGTTGGATGTGCCATCGTCCCCATGCCGTGAGCCTAGCCTTGGGAGACCTTGGGGCTCCTCGGGGGTGTGGTTGCAGGGAATCCCAGCGGAGGACCCCGCGAGTCTGTCAAAGCTGTGTGCTCCCACCTGTCGTCCCGTGTATTTGTTTTCTAGAGCTTTCCAAGTCCCAGAATGACATGACCTCTGACAAGCAACTCCTAGCCACGGGTCGCAGGCAGTATGCTAGCCGGACGGAGAGAAGGAGCCAGTCTGACACCGCAATCAACGTCACCACCAGGGTACTCGCCGGGCCACCACGAAAGCCACTTCTAGTCCATTTTCTCTATAGATTCAGTTTTCCTTTCCTTTTATTGCATGACACTAAACAGTCTGAAGAAAACATAATTATAAATCCCTCTCTGTTGGAGTGAGGCCTGGCCAAGTGAAGGTCGAATTCCAGGGTCGATTTGGAAAATAGTTCAGAGCAGGGAAAAGCCTCAGCCTAATCCCAAGCCCGTGGGGTTCCAGGTCCACGGGACTCCCTGCTGGTCTCAAGGCCACTCCGAAGGCAGAGTGGCCCCCCTGCAGGGCTGAGATGTGCCAGGTCATTCCTGGGGTCTGGATACCCTCAAGGAGGGTCGAGAAGCCTTCTTGTTTGCAACAACGTCCCGTTAACACCTGACAGAAACGCACTGAAACCCCACGTGCGGCCTGACCCAGGGCAGTCCCCAGGGAGGCCTCTCCCGGTACCTAAACCGCAAGAGAGTTCACCTAATCAAGGCTTTTAAGGAAATAATGACTCTGGCTTTCCCCCAGGATTAACCAAGTCCTGCCCTGGGACAGGAGAGAAGGAGACTTCACAGTCAGGACACCTGGGTTCTCGCCCAGCGGCGGTGACCTGGCTAGGGCAGGAGCCACCACCTGGTCACTAGGGCTGCGCTGGGTGCCTGGGCAGGACACGTGTCCCTTCCTGCAACCCTGGGCTCCGCCCCGGATGTCCCCACACAGACGCCTTTAGGCAGGGAGATGCGGTTCACCCAGCCTCCTGCGGGAACTTCCACACACACATTCTCAAGGCTTCAAACTCTGCCTCCGTCCACGACCCTCTGCCTGGGGCACGGCACGTGAAGCGCCTGAACATCACCATGCTCTTGGTGAAAATGAAGGTGACGACACTTGTTCCGCCCAAAGGCACCGGCTGCTTGTTACGATCCCTTGAGATACGACAGTATCTAAATTGCTACCTAAGCTATCTAAATATACTATCTAAATTGCCGGTCTTTCTAATTATGTGCCAGACTCCACTCAGGGCTTTACTGGGACCATCTCATTTTATCCTCACACCACCTCCTGAGCCATGAATTGCATTTGGCCCTGTTTTACATTTAGGGAAACTGAGGCTCCGAGAGATGTAAGTCGATGCCCCTGGTTACATAACCAGAAAGCAGTGGGCGGTCTTGGTCTGGAGGCTGAATTCTGGAGCAGCTGTTCTCAACCTGAATGTGTGTGTGAGTCACTTGGGAATGTTGTTGACATGCAGAGTCTGAATCGCTGATCTGAGGCAGGTGTGAGATGCCGCATCACCGGTGAGTTTCTGAGGAGCTCCCGGGTGAGCAGGCGGTGCGGCTGCTGGCCCCTGGGGCCTCGCTAGATTCAGGAGAAGGCGTCTAGAGTGTGTGAGGTGCATTTGGAAGGCTTCCAAACGCCAAAGGGCCAATGAGTGTTTGTTTCTGTTGGTTCCCCAAGGTCTACACAAACCCCGTGCTAGCCAGCCTTCCCCGAGTCAACAGATAGAGGAGCCTGTGATTAGGAGCCACTGTGGTCCAGGCACGGTGGCGTTTGTTACATACTAGTCACACCTAGTTCTTACAGAAATACTGAGACAGATATCACTGCTCCCATGATGAGGATCTAGGCTCTGGGTTCCACGAGATGGTAACCAACCAGTCTCATGTCATATAACTAATAAAACGTGGAGCCAGGAGTAGAGTCCAGATTTGTATGGCTCCAGATGCTAAACTTGTAACTTCCTCAGTGTGTGCCCCACGTAAGGAAGACAAATGAGAGCCCAGATCCTTGGGAGGAAGCCCCTCGGATGTTAACACTCGCTAAGGTTACCAGGCACTGTTCTTGGTATAGATACCTCACTTTCTAAATCCTTAAAACAACCCGGTGAGGTCTGCGCTCTTGCTGTCCCTATGGACGATGAAGGACGAAGGGGAAAGAGATGACCAAGGGGGTAACGTGGTCGAAGTGTCAAGGCCAGGTCAAGTCTGTTCCAGACACCACACCTGTAAGGCCTGCGGGAAACAACAAAGTTTGTGGACAGTGTTGTTTCCTACTTCCGATGCCACGTGCCACGTGCCAGGGCATCCCACGTTTCCCAGGCTTGGTTTTTGGCATTCAGGAGCCGACATAACGTGACATCCGTGGCGCCCGCCCTCCCCTACTACATGTGCACAGGGAACGAGCCTGCTGGGTAATTGCAGGGCTGTCTGATGGGACAAGGAAGCTTGAGGGTAGAAGCGAGGAGCAGCAGGGAAGGCCATGGCGGGAGAGTCCCCATCACGTAGGCACTCACTGCCACGCTCTTGAAAGGACATGCTTTCTACTTTTTGCAGGCAATCTGTCTCCCCTCGTTCCTGGAGGATGGGGCTGTTTTGGAACAGTGTAGCCAAATGTTTATAAAGTACTCAGCAATCGTGGCATGATCTATAAATGCTAAATAATTACAGGGTTGAAATATAAAGAGTACATCTTTAAATAGGACGTTTGTCAGACTGCAATTACACATGCCCTCCCTGGTGAGCTCATAAAACTTACACTCACATTTCCATCAGAATGCCTTGGGGCGTTCTGCCAACCTTAAGCACGCCACGTGGTGCCCTTTGGAAGTAGGGGGTGTCAGTGCCCACTTCGCGGGTGGCTACACTGAGGCACGGAAATAGGAGATAACTCTCTTAAGAGCACGTGGTGACGCTGAGATGGTAACTGAGAAAACAGCTCAGGGTGGCTTCTATGCCACTTCTGTGACCTTTAAGTGTGTGCTGCATATTCTGGAAATGCTCCGGTGAAGACCCTCACTTCCGCATGTGGGCCAGGGCTCTTGCAGAGGAGAACTCTCCTACCTGTCCTCTGAGAGCACCTGTGCATCCCCATGGGGTTTTATTGTGCATCTTATTCCTGTGTGGCTGATCTATATTGGCCGTAAAGACACACACCTGTTAACCAGGAAGGAAATACGAGAAGCTATTGGGAGCGGCCGTCTCTGAGGAGAGGGACCAAGGACGGAGGCAGAGAAGAAACCCTTCCTTTCACTTGGTGTCCCTTTATGTGAAGTTTTCCCACGTCCATGTGAAATCTGAAGCAACCACCCGCCCCCAGAGCGTGACATTTCTGCCTCCCTTCTCTTTCCCCACCTGCCGGCCACACTTAAGGCTGAGCAGCCAGGGGGAGGGAGGCAGTGGCAAAGCTTGGTCCTCAGACTTGAGGGCTTTTGACCCCATTGATGGTCCCAGGAGAGACGACTTCCCTTTCGGCCGGGACATTACATTGCTCAGAGGGTGTATCATCGGCTGAGCCCAGCCCGGATAGTTTCCTGATACCCTCGGATGCAGTCTCAGCGGCAACAGTTGAGCTTCTTTTCTTGTTTAAGATCAGCAGAAAAATCCCAAACGCATGAACTGTGTGGTTCCAGGGAGTCCGTAATTTGATCAAATGGAGCGTAATGTTTATTGATCTTTCAGCATGTAATATTAAACTTAATAACTCTGTGCAGAGTAGACCTCATTCAGGGCAATCATTTTTCTCTGTAATCTGACCCAAACTAGATAGTTATTGAAATATGTTAAAAATCACAGGGGGGCGGGGAAATGCCTTTCTCAACGACATCGATAAGCTGCTCTCTGAATCTTAATGCCCTTTAACAGGGTACTGAATCTGACAAAGTCATCCAGATCCTTCAGAATTTACTGGGGAAGAGTTGAACACCAAATTTCAAGTTGATTCCTTAGTCACAATGGGATGTTCTTCAGAATAGTGTTGACTTTTCTAATGATTTCAAAATATTTATATTGGCACTTAAGCTTCATTAGTGTTTTTCCAGAATCCTAATGTATTTAGAAATATAGTCTTCTCTGGCTATGATTTTTTTTTTCTGGCAATGAATTTGACATGCTATGTGACCGCTGTTATAAAGATAGTTCTTTGTTCCTTTTCAGAATTTTTGTCATCAGTTTTTTAAAGATGTTTATTTATTGTGAGGAGAGAAGGGGATTGAGAGAATCCCAGGCAAGCTCCATACTCTCAGCGTGGAGTTCGATGTGGGGCTCAATCCCACAAACCGTGAGATCATGACCTGAGCCTAAATCAAGAGTCAGACGCTTAACTGACTGAGCCCCCCAGGCGCCACTGCCATCAATTTATTTTTCTTTCATAGTTTATTGTCAAGTTGGTTTCCATATAACACCCAGTGCTCATCCCCACAAGTGTCCTCCTCCATGCCCGTCACCCCCCTTCCCCTCCCCCCCACCCCATCAGCCCTCAGTTTGTTCTCAGCATTCAAGAGTCTCTCATGGTTTGCCTCCCTCCCTCTCCCCAACTGTTTTTCCCCTTCTCCTCCCCCATGGTCCTCTGTTAAGTTTCTCCTGTTCTACTTATACGTGCAAACATATGGTATGTGTCCTTCTCTGCCTGACTTATTTCGCTCAGCATAACACCCTCGGGTTCCATCCACGTTGCTTCAAATGGCAGGATTTCATTCTTTCTCATTGCCAAGTAGTATTCCATTGTATAGATAAACCACATCGTCTTGATCCATTCATCAGTTGATGGACACTTAGGCTCTTTCCATGATTTGGCTATTGTTGAAAGTGCTTCTGTGGACATTGAGGTCCATGTGCCCCTATTCATCAGCACTCCTGTGTCCCTTGGGTAAATTCCTAGCTCAACTTTTTTTTCTTGATGATTTAAAAACTCTGTTACCTTAAAGAAAACTGAATTAGGCAGTTATTTTTGAATACCAAAGTGTTACGAAGCTTTGTATTAATATTTAGCCCACTGTTTTCTTTCTGTCCCATTCTGACTGCTGCCTTACATGCTGTTCCAAATGGAATCTTCTACATCCTCCAAGGCCACCCCTCTGACATGGTCAGAAGGTAGAGGCATTGGGGTAGGAAAGCCCTCTGACTACTTCCTCCGACTCGGAGTTTCCCTGGATCGTTAGCCATCCTTTCCTCCGGCCTCAGAAATGGACGTTCCTTCCCAAGGGGAACCCTCCTCTCTCTCTTCTGGGACCCTGCTCCATCAGCTCACCGCTTTCCCCACCTGTTTCTCCTCTACCTGCAAGTAAGCCCTGACCCTCCCCACCTTAAAAGGTAAAAGCAGCATCTTTTGAAGGATTCCCTTCAAGCTGCTCTTCCATTTCTTCATCTCACCCAAAATCCATAAAAACGTCTTCAGCTCTTGCTGTCACTGCCCTTGCCCCCCATCACCCCCCTCCTGGGTTCACTCTCAGCTGCCATACAGTCCGTTCCCTGTGCCAGGGCAACACTGCTCCCTGGGGTGCTGCCAGGCACCCCTGATTGAAAAGCATGGTGGCCGATTCGAACATCACCCTCATCGATGACTTTGTCACCTTTGACACAGTTGACCAGAATTCCATTCTTTTCTTTAATTACAAAAACGATTTTATTGCTTGTATATATAATAAAGCCTATGCCTACACACTAAATGAAAGTTTAAAAAACACAGATGAGGAGGAGGGGGTGGAGGCAGCGGAGGAGGGGGAAGAGGCAGGGGAGGAGCAGAAAACTCAGCACAGTGTTGCGGGGCCAGTCGCTTGGAGGACACATGCACACTCACTTTGCAAAATTGGCGCCATGCCGCACGTCCGCTTCGTTATCTGCTCTCTTAAGAATCTCTAACATCATGTTTTATTTCTTCCATACCAATACATACATATTGTCATTGTTGTACAGCTATTTTTTAGGGCTTTTTAAAAAAAATGTTTATTCTGAGAGAGAGCATGAGTGGGGGAGGAGCCGAGAGAGAAGGAGAGAGAGAGAATCCCACGGAGGCTCCCCAGTGTCCGTGTGGAGCCTGATGCGGGGCTCGAACTCATGAACTGAGATCATGACTGGGGCCGAAATCAACAGTTGGATGCCCAACCACCAAGGCACCCCTAGGACTTTTAACTCATGCTGCCAAATTGCCCTCCTCTGAGGTTGACTCAGTTTACCCAACCCCTAGAAGTGGTGTAACCCGCTCCTCAGCACCCCATCTGGCACCAAATGTTATACTTTCTATTTTAATATTTGCTAATTTGATAAGCAATTTTTAAAAATCTCCATTTCTTTCATTTCAGATGAGCCTTTTCTCATACTCTTTTCTCTTTTTTGAACACCCTTCCTGCCCGAAATCCTCCCCTTGGATTTGCGACTCTCCTGGCTCTGTCTCCTCCCCTGGGCCGGCTCTTTGGTGTCCCCTCAAGCTAACTATTCTCTGGACAGCCTGGCGCAGCAGGAATCTGGCCTCTGGAGTCTCTGCGGTCACATGGGTCATTAGCAGGTCTAGGAACATAGTCCGTACTTGACCATCAGGATAGGCCCACCACTCGGGATGCTCCTCCTCTCAGTCTCTCCCCAGCCAGCCTTGAACCTCCCACTCAGGCCCTACTTCCCCTAAAGAGCATCCTGACACCCTCTTCTGCAAAAGCTCTCCGTCCCCTCCTTCCCGTGGACTTGGCTTGTGCCTCCATTTCAGTGGAATGTCTATTTCCTACCAGCCAGGTGAGCCCCTGGAGGGTGGACAATGCTTCCTCTCCCCCCTCCCTTGTCCTCTGCCCCCCCTCTTTCTGCCCCAAGACTTAGAGCAGTGGATCAAAGACAGGGTTGCTTGGCAAATGTCTGATGGAGCTGAGCTGGCGTTCGGGGATCAAGAGCGTAAACGGTAATTTGGAGCTAATCATTTCTTCCACTTATTCTCTTATATTTTCAGTCTTTCATTCCTGAAAATTACAACTATGATGCAAATGTTCTATTTCCAAGTTCCGCTTCCAACCTGGCATCGAAGTGTAAAGTCTGGACTCAGAAACTTCGTTATTTTCAGCCAGAAGAGGTTTCCTACCTTGGGCGTTTTGTTTTTTGGCTCTATGCTAGCCCTGCCCAATAGAAGTTTCTAACCACTGCCACAGTGGCTACTGGGCACTTGAAATGTGTCTAGTGTGACTGAGGAGTTAAATTTATTAATTTTAGTTGCTTTTAATCACTGAGAATTTAGACTTATATAGCCACATGGAGCTAGTGACTTCCACACTGGAAAGCACTGCTCTATACATTATGAAAAGGGTACCAAGTACTAAAGTATTTTTATAAAACTTAGAGACATTTTTTAATTTTTCCCATTTTTTAAAATGTGCACACTACAACCAAAACTCTGATAGGCTAAAGATTTTATTTCATGTGATTAAATGCAGGGATCGTCATTAAGGTCAAAATGTGGACTTAATTTCTTTAAGACTTATTAATTCATAAGTGATCCACCCACCACCATGCATGAACATTCCAGTGCTTGCTGGTGCCTGCCCGGGCCCCGCGGGTGTGTGTGTATGCGTGTATCCAAACAGAAGTGTGCGCTCTTACTCAGCACCCAGAAGTTTGCATGTTAGTGCCATCAGGTCAGAGATGAAGGCTCTGCTCATTGAAGTGACCGCCTTTGAACAAAATCACACTAGGACACAGGCTCTGTTATTAATTCTGTGTTTCCTTTTCCAGACGGCAAGCACACCCGATATCCTGAAACCTCTCAATCAAGAGAGTCCCAAACACCTTACGAATCCTGTTTTGAAGCAAGAGGATCTCTCATCCAGGCCAACGCCCAGCACTTTATTCTCAGGAGGATTGAGACACGTGAGTCTCCTCTAATACCCTGGACACCACATGTGTGGCTGTCGCCATGATGTCCAATGGGCTCGGTGGGCGGGGGTAGGAGGGAAATGTTTCTTAAGCATAAACTGGACCCTGACAACAGAACTTGGAGGTAATATTTTACTCAGACTGGGAGCTGGAGAAACCTGGCTATATTGTGATGGTTTTTCTTTCATACACACAGATAGCAGTGAATAATAATTAATAATAATGGTATCTTTGGATGAGAAGTTTTTACTTTTAATGAAGTCAACGTATCAAATATTTCTCTTACAATTATATCTGTGTCTTGTCTACCCACAAGTCACGAAGACATTCTCTTGTTTTCTTCTAGAAGCTTTACAAAAATTGAGTTGTTCTGTGTAGGTGTGTGCCCCTGATCATAACTGTTTGTGAACAGTACAGGTTGAGGTTTGTTTTTTCCACATGGACAGCCGGTTATTTCGGCACCATTTGTTTACAAAATGACTCTCATTCTCCCACTGACTTTGGTATCTTTGTTGAAAATCAAGTAACCGGGTAGGTTTGGGTCTTTTTCTGGATTCTCCACCCTGCGGCTCTGATCTCTATGCTCTGGCTCAGACCACACCATCCTGGTTACTGCAGGAAGTCATGAGGTCAAGTCTCCTAAGTCCTTCAACTGTGCTCTTCTCTTTCAAGATGTTTTAAAGGTTGTCTCTGTTGATGGGCAGGCCTTTTATTCATTCTTTTGTGTCTTCAAGAACATTGAAGGAGAGCTTACTTTATGCCTCAAGTTGTGATATGTGGTGTGACAGAGCCTTGGGTGACAGGTCACGAGGCCTGGATCACTGTGATAGCTCTTTGCCTTAGTAAATAATCTTAGACAATGACAAAAACTCTCCAAACTTCAGCATCCTCATCCAGGAAATGGGTATCAGGCTTGTTCTTTTTATTTCACTGGATTGTTCTGAGAAACAAAAATGCACTCATTCCGTGGTGTATGATAGTGGCTAAGAACTCAGCTTCTAGAGGTTCCTGGGTGACTCAGTCAGTTGAGGATCCTACTCTTCATTTTGGCTCAGGTCATAATCTCACAGTTTGTGGGTTCGAGCCCTATGTTGGGCTTCACGCTGATCGTGCTTGGGATTTTCTCTCTCTGTTCTGTTCCTGCTCATGCTCTCTCTCTCTCTCTCTCAAAATAAATAAATAAACTTAAAAAAAAAAAAAGGGGAACTCAGCTTCTAGAAACCATCTTTTTGGTTCACATTCCAGCTCCTGGAGTGTGACTCAGAGCAAGTCCCTTAACCTCTCTGTGCTTGGGGGTGGTTGTGTTTTTATGGAAAATGGCCTTCACTTTAGAAAACGATTAACTTACCCCCCTCCCATCTACATGAATATCTGGTAGAACATTACAGCCACGGCAGAAGTGGGCCAGACCCGGGCACTGAAGAACAGGCAACATCCTAGACTCGGTCCACTAAGTGCTGGCGGCTCCCAACCCATCCCTTCACTGAGTGGTCCTGCCTCTTTCAGAACCACTCCTCTACACCCTCACTATTCAAAATGTGGGGCCAGCAGCACTGGAATCACCTGGGACCTTCCAGAAATCAGTGTCTCTGGCCCCAGCCCAGACCTACTGGGTCAGAGTCTGCAATTGAACAAGAGCCCCAGATGATTCATATGTACCATGAAGTTTAAGAAACACTGATTCGGGGTGTCTGGGTGGCTCACTCAGTTAAGCACCCGACTTCAGCTCAGGTCATGATCTCACGGTTCATGGGTTCGAGCCCCGCGTCAGGCTCTGTGCTGACAGCTAGCTCAGAGCCTGGAGCCTGTTTCAGATTCTGTACCTCCCTCTCTCTGACCCTCCCCTTCTCATGCTGTCTCTCTCTCTCTCTCAGAAATAAATTTTTTTTTAATTAAAAGAAAAATTAAAAAAAAAAAAGAAAGACTGGTTCAGCTCTAGTAACTTCAAACCTGAGTAAAGTATGTCATTTGTTAAGGATTCCTTAACAGTCTAGGGTCATGCTGTCCACTACAGTAGTCATTAGTCTATTATGGCTGTTAAGCACTTGAATTATGACTAGTCCCAAATGAATATATAAAGTACACACTGCCCAGGAGCTGATTATAATGTTCTCTGTCAAGTACACTTAAATAAAAATAAAATACACACTAGGTTTTAAAGACTTAAGTAGGAAAAAATATAAAAGATCTCATTAATAATTTTTATATTGACATATGTTGAAATGATCGTGTTTTGGACATATGACACTAATAAAATGCACGGCATACGTCATAGATACTGTGTCACTTCCAGGCCACCTCAGTAAGGTGAAGATCGTAATAAAGTCAAATTAATTTTTGTTTCCAGTGCATATAAAAGTTATGTTCACCCTACACCCTCATTGGTTTAAGTGTGCAATGACATTATGTCTAAAAAAAAAAAAAACCAATGTACGTGCCTTAATTAACAAATACTTTATTGCTAAAAAATACTAACCATCATCCTCTGAGCTTTGAGTTGTAATCATTGATCACAGATCTCCATGACAAACATAGTAATAATGAAACCGTTTAAAAGGTTGTGAAAATTACCAAAATGGGGCACAGACACGAAGTGAGCAAACCCTGTGGGAAGAACGGCAGCGATGGGCTTGCTGGATGCAGGGTTCCCACAGACCCTCAGTTTGCAAAACAGGCAACATCTGCGAAATGCACTAAAACTAAACCAGGTGTGCATGTGTTATTAAAATTAATCTTACCTTTTTTTTTAATAAATAGGCCACTAGAGAAGTTTAAGCATTTTTTTTTTAAGTTTATTTCTTTAATTTGAGAGAGAGAAAGCATGCACACAAATAGGGGAGGGGCAGGGAGAGAGAGAGAGAATCCCAAACAGGTGGTCAGCACAGAGCCCGACGCAGGGCTCAATCCCAGAAACTATGAGATGATGACCTGAGCTGAGATCAAGATCAGACACTTAACTGACTGAGCCCCCCAGGCGTTCCTGGAGAATTTTAAATTACAGATTTGACTCACGTTACATTCCCGTGGAACAGCACTGGGCTGAGTACCGTGACTGTACATTCAGTGGCACCTGGGCTGACCTAAAGTGGAATCGTCCCGAATGCCGGCTCATGTGCCTCTGTGCGCTTCCTACGAAGAAGGTTCGTGTCTTCACCAGTTCTCAGACAGGTCTGCGCACCCACACTGGTCAACGACCAGGAATCAAGAGCAAACTCGGTTCTTCCCGGGAGCCTCCAAGTCCCAGCGGAGGGCAGCCGCCTGCCCCTGGGGAAAAAACGGTGGTGACGGAGCCGGCCCTGCGCCCTGGCCCTCTGCTCTTGGTGCCCTTTTCATTCGGGAGACTGCGGTGGTGAGAGCTCGGCTGGCCCGGCCAGGAGTTCTCAAAAAGCTGTGGTTGAGAGTGGTTTAACCCCTTTCTTCACAGCTAGCTGTTGTTTGGACTGGGAATAGTTCAGCGAGGTGGAAGAGCAGAGGGAACACTTCTCTGGGAAGGGTGAGATAGGCAAGGATGGCTCCAGAACATTCTCTCATAGGGTTTAGCCCTGTGGTGGGTCTGAGATAGGAAGAGCTTTGCCAAGATTCTCCAGAAGGTTTGCCCCTACTCCAGCTGACGGAAGGACGCCAGCCAGCTTGAGCTTTTATGAAGCTGGTCCTGAGGGTGAGGCTAACCTTCTGGGAGAGTCCAAGGGGCAGCTTCCCCAAGACCTGCCCAAGGGCCCACTAGACTAAACTCTAAGCTCCTCTAGGGGCCAGAATCATGTCTTTGGGTGCTCAGAGACCAACGCGTAGGCATGGACATGGGCTAGGATCCACCCCACGGCGGTCCACGGGGCCCCACACAACCTGGCCAACCCACCTGTCCACTTGCTCGTTCCACACAACCACACTGGCCACGCTGGTCGTTGAACACGCCAGACACATGCCTGGCCTGGGGGCGGGGGGGTTCTGCCCTCTCCCAAGTGGCACCAAACCCATTCACCCCCTTCCTTCAAATCTTTGCTCCAAGGTCACCTTGTAGGCAGGGCCCATGCCCTACCCTGGCCTGCCCTCCATCGCCCTCACCTTCTCTCTGTTACCCATATTCTTATCACCTTCTGCAGCAGTGTAATTGGTTTATCTGTTGTTTGTTGTCTCCTGTAAGTCCCCCAAGCCCAAGCAGTGCCTGACCCTGAAGTGACACTTGGTAAACGTGTGAGGAATGATTGCATTACTCCTTACTGGAGCTCTAGTTTCCTGAAAGCCTACTGTGTGCTAATGACCGACCCAGGGGCTTCCCAGTAAATCATTCGCACAACCGTCCAGTCAGGTGGATGCTATTGTCCCATTTCACAAATAGGAAGACAGGTTCATGGAGGTTAAGGCGGCTCGCTGAGGTCATACAGTAATCGCAGAGCCCTGACGCGACACCCAAAGCCGCACGAGTCCAAGCCCTGGGGGCTCTGCTGGGCTCTCTGGTGGCGTGGGTTTCCTGCCCTCACCCCTGCTTCAGCTGCACTGGCCTGGGGCTGACCTCCCTGGACAGCCTCTCGGACTGCTGGGAAATGATGCTGTGGCACGGAGACGTGGGTGAGTGTGTTTTTCTCACCCTGTCCTTCAAATTTCTTTTTAAATGTTTTATTTCTGAGAGAGAGAGAGAGAGGAAGCGTGAGCAGGGGAGGGTCAGAGAGAGAGGGAGGCACAGAATCCGAAGCAATCTCCAGGCTCTGAGCTAGTGGTCAGCACAGAGCCTGACGTGGGGCTCGAACCCACAGACCGTGAGATCATGACCTGAGCTGAAGTCGGACGCTTAACTGAGTGAGCCACCCAGGCGCCCCTCACCCCGTCCTTCAAACGACACCGCGGATTCAACCGGGCTCCCTTCTTCCTTTCTTCTAGTGGGCTCTGATGTGTGCCCTTCAAGTTCTCCTCGTGAAGTTGAATTGTTCTGTGATTAAACCTGTTCCTTGAAGCTGAAGCAGTGTTTGTGGAAACTAAACTCCCACAAAGCAAATACT